CAATATAAATACTTGTTAATAAGTGTATATTGTCCCAACCGAAATATAAGCAGAAATGCTACCAAATATATAAACTCGTGAGTTTAGCTCTAGATAGGATTATTACTTTGATTAGTGTGTGTACGAATAAAAAACTTTTGCAGAACCGAGTAGTTAACAAGCTCTCTTCAAATTATTAACTTTTATAATGTTTTTGACCTCACACTTACAAGTAAACTTTTAAAACATTTTATCAAATCTTAGCATGTTAAGCTTAAGCGTATATATATATATATTCCCTTAGCTCCGGTTGGAGCATAGGCCATTAACTACTTCCGTCCTCCATCGGGTTCTGTCCTGGGCAAATCTTCCTAAAGTGGCCCAAGTGTGGCCCCAGTTTCTCATTTGGGACTCTACACCTCTTCTCCAGGAGTTCCTGGGACGACCCCTCTTTCTCTTGCCCTGGGGGTTCCAACGTAGTGCCTGCCGGGTGATGTTGTTAGCCGGTTTCCTTAGGATGTGACCTATCCATCTCCACTTTCTCTTTGAGATCTGAGTTATGATTGGTTCCTCGCCTGCTAATTCCCACAGCATCTCGTTCGTTACCCTGTCAGTCCTACTGATTTTTAAAATTCGCCTAAGGCACTTATTGACGAAGGTCTGCAATTTCTGGGATGTTTGCTTAGTTGTTCTCCACGTTTCTGAGCCATAGAGGAGGACTGCTTTGACATTGGTGTTAAAAATTCTAAATTTGGTTCTCCGTGAGATGACATGGGAGGACCACACTTTCCTCAGCGTATTGAAAGCTACTCTGGCTTTGTTTATCCTGACCTTGATATCTTCATCGGAACCTCCGTCAATGCTGACTACACTGCCTAGGTAGACAAAAGATGTTACTTCCTCCAAGATGGTATCCCTCACTTTAACTGGTCTGTTGTTGGTGCAGTTGACCTTCATAACCTTGGTCTTATTCACATTCGGATGCAGGCCTAACTTGATGGAATTAGCTGTTAGCCGTGCTGTTTTGTCCTGCATTTGTTGGTTGTTACTTGACACCAGGGCGATATCATCAGCAAACTCTAGATCTTCAAGTTGCTCCAATAAGTTCCACTGGATCCCATTTCGCTGTTCTCTAGTTGTTTCCTTCATGATCCAGCTTAAGCGTGTTGAACATTATAATCCTAGATGGTGCCATTTTTATAACGTAGCCAGAGGAAGAGGATTCTTATCATCTCCCTTGTTGAAAAAGAACAAGGGATTTGAATGTACATAAAACATCTGCAATAACCACCGCAACTACTTTTTCTAATAATACAGAAAATCCGTATTTGAAAAAATTACTGTAATACTCAAGAAATGTTTTGGAATCAGCCGAACAATTCTATAATTTGCACGAGGCCGTCATCATTCGAGTTCCCACCAGCCAAACCGGAACAATCTTCGCCATTACAGTACGAGCCCCCTCCACCTCCAGTTTGTTCCCATTGGGTACCACTTCCTCCCCCAAAGTAGCCACCACCTCCACCTGATGCACATTTATCCTCTGATCCACCTCCCCCACCACCAAACCCACCAACTGCTCCTGGTGCAGGGCCCCCGTTATTACTGCTATTCATACCTCCGGCTTGACCTCCAATCCACGCTTGCGCACGTGATCCACCTCTTTCACCATGGGAGGAGCCTAGCCGGGCACAACCTTGACCAAACCAACCCGCTCCCACTCCTCCGTGGTAGTTACCGCCCTCACTGTTGCATTCATCTGGCTGCCCACCTGTGCCTCCATTTCGAACTTGTGACGAAACCTGCCCTACAC